TATTTTTGTTTGAGTACTAGAGCACAGCAGCATGAGGACGACCTGAACTTTCCTGCCAAGGAGCAGGGCGAGGTATAAAGTTCTACTGGGCAAAGGAAATCTATTTCAGGATCTGACAAGACAGGTCCTAGATAGAAATAACTGCCCTAAGAGCCTTTTCCAGGTTCTGATTTCCTAGACAGATAGCTTAAAGAAGTTTCCTAGAAGCACAGAAGCTCAGAGTTTGGAAGGAATGTCAGAGGTCATCAAAACCATGAATAAAAATAATAATAATAATAATAATAACTAACATTTAAATAGGGCAGCTAGGTAGCACAGTGAATAGAGCTCCAGGCCTGGAGTCAGGAAAATTCATGTTCCTGAGTACAAATGGGGCCTCAGACACATGGCAAGTCATTTAACCCTGTTTGCCTCAGTTTCCTCATCTGGAAAATGAGCTGGAAAAGGAAATGGCAAACCACTCCAGTATCTTTGCCAAAAAACTCCAAATAGGAACAAGGAGAGTTGGACATGACTGAAAAACAACTCAACAACAATATTCTTTAATAAATTCTCCATAGTGCTAAGCACTCTGCTAAGTGCTTTCTTATTTGATCCTCACAACAACCCTGGGAGGTAGGTGCTATAATTATCCCCATTTTACAGTTGAGGAAACTGAGGCAGAGGTGAAGTGACTTGCCCAGGATCACACAGTAAATTTCTAAGTCCAGATTTAAACTTTGGTCTTCCTGACTCCAGACCCAGCACTGTATCCACTGATAATCCTCTGGTAATCTGATAATTCTCTGATAATCCTCCCTTCATTTTCCTTCAAGCTCTTTTTTTTTTAATTGAGTTTTGTGGTTTTCTAAGCATTTCCAATTCTTGCTCAGTTTCTGGGCTCTTGTCATGTATCAACCTGGGATGAGTTTCTTAACCCATACAAATCAAACTCATTAACCTCCCCAAACCTGCCCCTCCCCTACCTTCTATCTTTCTATTGGTGATACCACCATCTTCAGCTGACTCTTCCAGCTTTCTCTCACTCCCTCCCCTTGATTGTTCATTGCAGTCAAATTGGAATTCACTCGTTTTTTCCTACCCTTTCCCATTCCTTCATGGCATCAATCGGTGGCCTTTCCTTAAGTTGCAGTAATCTTCCTGTCCTCAAATTTCTCAAAAACCAATCTGCTTCTATATCATAGTTATTTCTATCTTCCCTCACTTCTTGAAAACAGGGACTGTGTAGCCTCAGCACCTAGCACTTTGCATTGCACACAGTAGGTGCTTAATAAGTGTTCGTCAAATGAACAGTAGAGTTCAAGCTGGAAGGGACCTCAGAGATCTAGTCCAACCTCTCCCTTTTAAAGATAAGGAAACAAACCTTAAGAGGTGCTGTCACTAGCCTAAGTTCACACAACTAGTGAATGGCAGAGCTGGGATTTGAACCAAAGGATTTGGCCTCTAAAGCCAGTGCTTCCATACTTCAATGATTTACTATACCCTATGAATCAATTAATGAGACCAGAGAGGTTAAGTGACACCTGAGATTACACAGCAGAACTAGGCTTGAACCTAGTCTTCTGACTCCAAAACCAGTGTTGATTCTACTCTTTCAGGCTGCCTCATTATCACATTTGATCCTTACTACAACCCTGAGGTAGAAAGGGCAGATATTATTATCCCCATTGCTTATTTATCACTCCTCTAACAGATATATGGATGACAAAGTGCATAAAGTGGTTGACTCAAGCCGGGAAGAGTCATCATGCTGAGTTCAAATCCAGCTTCAGACACTTAAACTAGCTATTTAACCTTAAGCAAGTCATTTAACCCTGTTTGCCTCAGTTTCACCATCTGTAAAATGAGCTGGAGAAGAAAATGGTAACCCATTCCAATATCTTTGCCAAGAAAACCTCAAATGGGGTCATGAAGAGTCTGGAACAACTGAACAACAACAATAAAAGCATAAATTAAACCATCACTCTTTCTGATTCTTTTCCTTAACAACTGTTATTTCTTCATCAGCTCTGTCCCTAATTTCCCAGATACCCCTTACAAAATTTTCAAAGTCTGATTTTATATTTTTTTTTGTAGAAAAAAGGGGACTTCTATAAAATGCCCAATATGATTTAAAGAGGAGGTATTTCTTCAATGTGTCTCTTTTGTATGAGAATATCAATTAACTATTGACTTATATCCTGAATTTCCTACCTCTCCTCAATTTTATGAGGATAGTTTACATATGCATCAAAAGTATCCTTGACCATGATATGAGAAGGAAATGACAAGCTTTCACAAATATTATACTCTAACAGACATTTTTATGGTCAGACAACTAACTAGAAATTGTAGAGATTACAAGGTCCTACTGTGCTTACTTGCTGATTATTTTAAAAACACAAGGAATAAAAGAAAGCAAAGAGGGTCATTGACATACTTTTAAATGTACAAAAGGGAACAGAAGGAAATTCAGAAGGAAGCAGAGAAGCATGACAGCTTTGAAATAGCATTGAATTTAGTATTAAGGAAAAAAAGAAGTTGTACAAAATAGTCAGTTTCACATATAATCCTCTCTTTTTCTATTCCAATTTACATGTGGAAATGTTCTCTTTCTGTGATATTTGTTAAGTCTAATATTTGTTAAATTCAAAAACAAAAAAATTTTAAAACATCTGATTCAGCAGAGGGAAGTGCTCCCTTAAAACTTTAGTTCAACAAGGCATCTCATTCATAAGTCAGAATCATCTAAGATTCTTGAAAAAGAACAACAGAGAATAACATTGTTCAATGGCTTTCTGATATTAATATCAAACAAGGAAAACAACAGAGAAACATAAGCCCTCAAAAGAGGGGGTTGCCACCCACATGGAGGATGACCATCATTGAGTCCAAGTAAGAGAGATATAAATGAAGTATTCCTGTTTTCAATGGTATTGTGCTAATCACAGCAAGCCCTGGAACATTGCAGAGCATAATTAGAAGCATAATCCCATACAAGAATTTGGCCTACCCATCCACTATCCAAACAAGAAAAAGCAAATGATTAAAGAATCTCTATTGTCCAGAATATGATGTGCAGCTGGACAGACCATCTATAGAGTTCTCTTCTTTGAGTTCATATATCTGGGACAAAATCTGCAAAGGACAACAAGCTGAGTCCAGAATTGAGCAGAAGGAGGATTATAGGCTGGATCACCTGTGAGAAAGTGGGCAGTAACCTAATGATTCCAAGCTTTTCTCTGAAACAAATGTTGTTAACATGAGTGTTCTTCTGATAATGAATCATGGAATACCACAGTCTCCACAGAACTGAAGCTGAGCATGACCTAAAGAACAATGGAGAGGCATATTGTAGGCATGAGCTAACACACATTACAAATGAGGAATTTCCTAGAAGTTTCATAAAGTATGTCAACAGAGTATGATCAGTATGATCAGAAAAGCAAATAAGCCAGGGACAAAGAATGGACAGTCCATGTGCTTCATTGCTAGTTATGCAATGTCAAGGATTTATAGGAGCATGTGGGATGGGCTGCAATCTGTGTCATTCAAGGGCATATCCACATTGGCAAAATCACATATCCCTCAAAGTCTATGATTGTAGGATCCCACAAGGTTGGAACTGTGCTTGCCAATTCTTTGGTCATGCCTACAACATCATCAACTCCAAATAAATATGATTGTCATGTGACCATACTGCTATAACACTGTTTGATTTTCAAATTAGCAGGGGTAACATGGGAGAAGTGGATTATAAGTGTTTATTAGGCAAGGACTGACTATTCTGAGGATCCTATACAGTAGGTGCACAACACACGCTTAATGACTGACACTCAGATTGAGATTTGAGACAACTTAGCTGACTAAACCTCAAGCTTTGCCCATAGATATTTGTTTTAAAAACTCAGGCCCTAAGTTCTAACTTGTCAGGAGATAGATCACTTTGCCTCATGAAGATGAAATTGAGATAGAGATTAATCTGGAGGCTCTTCTAAGATGTAATAATTTCACTGAGTCTTTCGTGCAAGCAATAGTATAGGTAGCATTGCAAAGCATTTTATCATCCTTCTCTTATTTGATCTTCACAACTACGTTGGGAGATAGGTGCTATTATTATCATCCCCATTTCTAAAGATGAGGAAACGGAGGCAGACAGAGATTAAGTGACTTGCTCAGAATCACATAGATAGTAAATGTCTGAGACCAAATTTGAATTCAGGTCTTCCTGACTCCAGGTCCAGCACTCTATCCACTGTGTCAATATATGGGCGTAGAGATAGGACCAGACTGGAAGGAGACACTTAGAGGGTTTATGTGTAGCTAACTCCAGAGAGAGAAAAATTGTGTTAGGGAATATCATCATAGATTTAGATCTGTGGGAGGGACCTTCAAGATCATCCAGTCTAACTTTTCATTTTACAAATGAAATTACTGAAGCCCAGAAATGTTATATGACTTACTTAAGGAAAACCAGATAGTAAGTGCCAGGGCTGGGATTTAAGCCCAAATCCTCTAATTACAAGTCTAGCAGTCTTTCTAGCATACCACATTGGGAACTAATAACTCTACTGAATATTCAGGCCTAAATAACTATTGACATTCCAATGAATGATTCCGTAATTACAACACTTGAGATTTTTAAGATTGTTTCTCACTTCTCCATATTTGTTCATTTTCATTTCCTATACTTCCTTGTGGTTGCTAGCAGTAAAAACCCTTGAGATACTTTAAAAACAGCTATGTGTTTGCTCAGGAAAGGGGTGGGGATGGGAAAGCACAGAGCTGAGGCTCCTTAAAGCCTAGAAGACAAAGATTCAGCTGCCAGTACACTGTCCTATAAATTGACCCCAATTTCATCTTGGAAGCATCTGTTTTTATGCTGAATTTCATTCCAGGGGCAGAAGGAAAAGATTTCCCACTTATGTAATCTCTGTACTATGTATTCTAGTTTAATCATGTGTTTTCTTTTTTAAAAAATTTAAGCATTTTTTTCTAACAAAGGTATTTTGTTATTTCAGAATTGCTCAGCTACTAAAGGCAGTCATGTTCGACGTGTTGGTCCATATCCAAAATTTATGGACTGGAGAAAGAAAGGAAATTATGTCTCACCAGTGAAAAACCAGGTATGAACAATTATTATATGAATTTCCCAATAATTTCTATGAAATGTGTCATCCATGAACAGTCTATCAGTCTTATATAACAGAAAAACAAGTTAAAAAGACTATTGTAGGAAGAAAATTCAGAAAGTCCTCTTTTTCTCCACCCCAGCTCTCACTTCCACACTCTTCCCTAAATAGTCAAATTATTATCTTTTCCTCCCTAACCAAATTCACAGAATCTTAGAATGTTAGAGTTGGAAGTGACCTTAATGGTTAGCTAGTCCAATCTCTGTCATTTTATAGGAAAGGAAACTCAGGCTCATGGAGGCGAATGAAGTGAGTTGCCCCAAGGTCACACAGGTATCAAATGGTACAGCCAGCTTGCAACAGCATAAAGAGTACTGAAGTTCGGGTCTAAAGGGATTTTTAATAGACAATCAATAATACTCTCCAATTTGTCAATATCCCAACTAAAATATGGGGCCCAGAACTAAACACAAGACCTCAGTGGGGTCTGAACAGAGCAGAATACAATGAGACTAGGAGCGCATTAGTATCTTGGCTGCCCAGTCACACTGGCAATTTATATTGAACTTCTAGAGCTATTTCATACAAATAGCTAGGTAGCTATGATTCACATCTTTCACAGCTAGGCCCCAATTTTAAAGTAAATAATGAATCACCTGAAGTAGTCGCACTATTTGAAGTTATAATTATGTTAAATATGGTCATTGGTTCCAGGCCAATGGAAACATGCTGTGTAAATTCTAATAATGTGACCACGTTTTTTGTTTTTTGGGGTTTTTGGCGGGGGAAGAGATTCATTAATTCACCTAGCTATACTTGTGAAGCCTATTTTTTTACCCAATTTTCAGACTTTCACATTTATACCTATCTTATTAGAATTGGCCTACAAATCAAGTCTTTTAAGTGTTTCTGGATCCTGTATCTCATTCCAGCTGTTAACTGTCCCTCTTCATATCATCTGTAAATTTGACAAAGCATTCCATTTATTTCTTTATGTAGGTCATTGTTAAAAATGTTAAATATCATAAGAACAAGCCTAGATTCCTGGGTACTCTTTGAGATACTTCCCTCCAAGTTAAAATAAAACATAAATGGTAGAGCTCTTTGGTTTCAGCCTATCAGCAAGTTCTGAATCCTCCTGACTGAAAGGTTTTGTAATCACATCTCTCCATTTTGTCCATAAAGACAAAAAGGAACAGCATGGTGTAGTCACTTAACCTTTCTGGGCCTCATCTGTAAAATGAGAGAGGTGGATTCCATAGCCTCTAAGGTCTCACCATTGCTAAATTTATGATCATTGAAGGATATCATGGATGACTTATTAAAAATACCCTCTTCCCTAACCTTGTTGTAAAAGATTCCCACATCTGATGAAATAATGTATTGGGAGAGATGAAGTTACTTCAAGGTTCTGGCCAAGTTATTAACATAAGAATGGTATTTTAAGCTTTGGACAAAGAGGGAAAACCTGCCTTAACCTGAATTGGCCTCGTGATTCAAAATTTGTCTAATAACTTAGGCATAACTTAATTTCAACTGTATATACCAAATGTAAGATAGTCTCTAATTGTCTTGTATTAGTTGTGTTAAATATTCCTTAAAACATCAAAAATAGGAGCTTAATGGATCAAACAATTTATCTGAAATGAAAGAAGCAGAGTCTGAAAAACCTGGATTTTTTGAACCCTAACTCTGCTACCAAACTTTAACTACCTACCTATGTAGCCTTGGGCTAGTACCTCAAACTTTATGGGCCTCAGTTTGCCCTTGTAAAATGTTGGTCTCTGTAGTCTCTAAGACCCCTTCCAACTTTATATATCTGACCCTCTAGGGGGTATGCTCTGCAAGTCTATATTTCTTGATACCTATATTTCTTGCCTTATCAAAGATCTGACCCAAAGATCTCACCTTCTAATCCTTGAATCTCAATCTCTTCTTTCTCACTTGCATCTAGATATCTCTTCCTTACCATGAGACCATAGCTATGCTCCTTTGGACCCATTAGTGTACATCAGTAGGAGTGGAAAGCTCACTCATCTAAAAGTTAGGAGAGCTGAGTTCAAATTTCCAGTCCTGCCTCTAACTAGCTATTTGACCTTCAACAAATCACTTCCTCTCCTTGGACCTTAGTTTCTTCATCTTTAAAATGAGAGGGATGGACCAAATAGTCCCTAATGTCCTTTTCATTACTGTTCCATAGTATCTCAGTTACCTGGTCATAGGTGCTAGATGGCAATTCTACTTATGAGATGAATGTCTGCCACCAATGTTCCCTGTAGGCCTTGGGTGTCTGTGGCTTCAGAGGACCAAAAATATCTCTCATGCACATAGTTGATTCTGGGCCCATTTGTGGAAAACCTCTGCAAGCTCCTGGAAATTGGGTGGCTAGTTCATTTTTTGTAATAGATTAGAAATGGAAAATATGGGGAGGAGGGCAGCTTCTTAGGTTAGGTAGAGATATGGCAAGGGAGAATATCAAGTAGAAGGGAGGTCTGCCCTCCATTTCCTCATCCAGTCCTTGTGCTCACCCTCTACCCAAATTTCCTTGGCAGTAACTCCTTCCAAATAATATCGAAAAACATTTTTTGAACAATAACTATGAGAATAATATAATGCTAATAAAATCCAAGATTTGGTAGGACCTTATAGGTTATAGGGTAGAGTATGGTAAACTGGAAAGCTAATAATTCCTTAGGTCTGTATAGTTTTGCATTTTACCAAGTTCTCTCCTATACATTATCTCATTTGATCTCTTCAATCAACCAAGAAGCATTTATTAAGTGTTTTCAAAGACAGAAATGAAACAATCTCTGCCCTCAAGGAATTTACAGTCTAGCTGGGTCAGAAATATATATGTTCACTTATGTGTGTATATGTATGTATATGTGAATATACACACACATAAAAGATACAGAAGCTGATTAGGAGGGAAGTCACTATTTCATAGTCAACTTCTGTGAGATAAAAACTCAACATTTATTTATGTGCTTATTATACACAAGAAAGAATGTTCGTTATCCTTACTTTAAAAGGGAAACTGAGGCTCAGAAAGGTTTAAGTTATTTGTCCAAGAAATCATAGATAATTAGTGGCAGATTTCCTGAGTCTTATTCTATGCTTTTGTTTTCTTCTCTTAGGCTTAAGGTGGTTTGGACTCTGGCTACAAGGTCAATCACAGACAATTGAAAAACAGGCCATCTAAGACAGTTGTCCATCCTTTCTACAGCTTCCCTCCACCTCCTCCTCATGGCCTCTTCCACCTCTTAGCACTCCCTTTTCTCTCTACCCACAGATATTCAAAGACCAAATGCTGACTTCCCAATGCCTCCACTATAGTGGTCAACCCTAACCTGATTCTCTCTTCATGTCCAAAATTGCTTCTCACTTCCTTGGCCCCCACCTACATCAAAACTCCTATGACTGATTGTCTTTTCCTCCTTTCACATCTTTGGAAAGTTGGGAAGCAAAGTTGTGAAATTTTTCACACTAAAGTGTAAATGACTAAAATCCACCCCATACATTCTTAATCCTAAGGATATTTTCATCTGGAACTGGTTAACCCAAAGGAATCTCAAGGTTTTTAGGTCCACCTACTCCCACTGTCCTTCTCAAAACTAACCCCAAAGTATTCTCCAAATTTCAACTATAATAATTCCCCTTCTTCCTCTTCCCCCACTACTTCTTTATTCTTCTGGATTGCTCAATGAGTCACCTGTTGGCTTTTCAGATAAATTTATTCCCACAAATTTTGCCTCTTTGAAAGATGCCTAGGATAAGAACTGGGCTGTCAGTGTAGCTGATTTCTCCTGAGCCTTGAGCCTAAACTCTGTTTACAGATTTTTAGTCATCATGTTGAGTCATTTCTTGCTCACATAGCATGGTCACCTACTCATAACTTAAAATTAAGGGAGCATTCCAATCAAAGGAGGTACTTGTTCGAGGTATTTGTTCCAGTCTGCCTACTCAGTGTAGGGGAATACTGACTCCCCCTTAGGAAACAGAGCAAGAAAATACTGGAACATGAATACATAAAGCCATTTATATAGGGATATATGGGTGAGTCAATCAAAAATTATTTATTGAGCAACTTTTATGGGCCAAAGAAGGTGTTAGATGCTAAGTACTGGAGGTGGAGTCTGGTTAGGGAGATAAGACATATGCATATGAAAGCGTTACTACCAAAAACAAGTAAAAGGTGGAGCAGGAAAGGAAGAAGGAAGGGAATCAACTGGACTTGAAGATTTGATGATTAAATTGGGTAACTAGGATAATGATACACATTGATGGAAATTTAAAAGTCAAACTGAGGAGAGGAGAGTGTGGTGAAAGGAGGGGATCAATACATGAGGAAGTTCCATTTTAGACATTTTTTTTAATGACGACAGGACTTCCAAGGGAAAAATTCTAGCCAGGCACTAGAGTTGTAAGCCTGGAGCATATAAAGTGCTGAAAATGCTAGATCTGGAAGTCACCAACACTAGAGATCACAGTTGAGATGGTGAGAGTGGCTGAAGAGAGAAGCAGAGATAGTATGTGGTCTGACACTTAGAATTTCCACATTTCAACGATAGGAAGAGGAAGCAAAACCAGAGAAAACAAAAGGAGCAATCAGAGTTGCAGGGGGAGAGCTAGCATAGTGTAGCATATTAGCCTTATCAGTACTTGGATTTAAATTACAGGGTGAAGGAGAGAGTTTCAAGGCTAGAGATGTTTACCGAGGAATACAGAGGAACAGATGGAAATGAGCTGCCCCAAAATTCATTCCTAATATCTCTGAAGTGGTCCCTAGCCCCAGCTTCCTACACTCCAAAATGTGCTAAGGGCCACATTCATCAAAAGTGCATAACATTGACCCAACACTAAAACAGCCCACAGTGTCCCCCTAAGAGAAGATGTCTTTATATATCATAGGACTGGATGGAGGAAGACTGGCAATATATTACCCTCCTGTCTTGTATCTGGCACAGGATAAAATGCAAAAAACATCAAGGAGGGGAGACCAAGACTGGGGGAAACTTAAGATTTGGGGACTATCCCATCTTCTCTCTAGGACAGGGCTGAAGGAGCTAAGAAACACTCATTCCCATGGGAAACAGGACTTATGTAGAAAAGGAAAACTCAAGGAATGAATACACGACTATCTTTAAGAAGCAGCGTGTTTACATTGGAAAGAGTGCTGAAGTTGGGATCCAGAGGATAAAGACACTGAGTTATGTACAGACAACGATTTATTTAACAAGGCATGTAGTTGCTGAAACAAATTGGGTCCAAGGCTCTCAGCCAGTGCCAGGACCCCGAAGCTCTTGACTCTTTGGCTTTTATATGATTTTTACATAGTGCTAGAGGGGAATAAGATTACATCAGCCAAGTTGCGACTGGATCAGAGCATGAGCTGGTCCCTCATGAGTAGGAGGTTTTACAGAAAACATTTAAAGAACACAAAACTCAAAGGTCAATGAAAACTATAGTCACAAAATGGAGGGCTAGTTACAAAGGAGTCGCTTTGGCCTAACAGACCCACCTCTAAAACTTACTATAGTTATGTTCATATGGGCAAATAATGTAACTTCTTTGAACTTCAATTTCCTCAGCTGCAAAATAAGGATAACAATACCTGTGGCATCTAACTCATAGGGATGCTATGACAAACCAATGAAATAATTTATATAAAGCACTTTCACTTTTATTTACATAGTGTTTTAATATTTGCGGTTAGTATTACTCTTATCATACATACAGAGTTAACAAAGTTAGTAACAATTGCTGCCCTAGCAAAGGGAGCTAGAGCCTTTTACAGTTGTATTAAGAGAGTAAGAAGGCCCCAGTGACTTTTGAATATACCTTTGTGAGCAAGCCAGTTTCTTTCCAATCACTTCTCATCTTTCCCATTTCATTGTGTCCTCTACCTAGCCACCATAGTGATTTTCCTAAAGCACAGGTCTGACCTTGTCAGGAAACCAGTGGCTCCTTATTACCTCCATGACTAAATATAAAATCCTACTTGGTATTTAAAGCCCTTCAAAACCTGGCCCCTCCTATTTTCTAGGCTTTTCTTTTACTTGACCTCTCTCCTCTACACACTGCATGATCCACCTTCACTGCCCTGCTTTGCTTTTCCTATCACATACCTCTTCACCTCTCGTCTTTATGCCTGTCTTGTTTTCCATGCCTGGAATTCACTGCCTTCTAGGTTCCTTGGCTTCCTTCAAGACTCAGTTCAACTCCCACATTTTACAAGAGGCTTTTCCTGGTTCCCTCAGCTACTAGTGCCTTCCCCTCTGAGACTACCTTTCAGCTACTCTGTGAATATCTTATATGTATCTAGATATTTACATTAATTGTCTTCTCCATTAGGCTGTAAGCTCCTTGAAAGCAGGAACTGTTTGTGTTTCTCTTTGTATCCTCAACACTTAGCACTGCGCCTGGCAAATTGTCAGCTCTTAAGAAATGGGTTTTTTTTTTTGGAGTTTTGATTTTTTTTTAACAACTTATTATTACTGTCAACAGTATGTTAGGTTTAGGAGCCAGACTGGAGGGAGTTTAGGAGACACAGAAAGAGAGAGAGAGAGTGTATTTATATTTCTGTCTAAAAGTTGGTTTAGAAAAACTGACAAACTTTATTCTCCTTTGTCCTCTAGGGTGGATGTGGCAGTTGCTGGACTTTTTCTACCACTGGGGGACTGGAGTCTGCTGTTGCCATAGCAACTGGAAAACTACTCTCTCTGGTAAGAAATATGACTTTAGGAATGCTGGAAGAGAAATCATCCATATGCTAACCTCATTTTTATTCCCCAGGATGTACAATGTAATTTGTTTATTTCATATTCCCTTCTACACACTCTGCATTTGAGCCAAATGAACTACTGGTTATTCCCCATATTCCTCCCTCCACAAGTTCACTCAGCTTTAAATCTCTGGTCATCCCCCACTCCTCATGCCTGTGCCCTCAATGATCTTCCTTCTCATCTTCCGCTCTCAGAATCCTTATCATCCTCCAAAGCTCAGCAAAGGTGCCCCCTCTTCCATGAAATCTTAGTGCTTTCTCCCTTCTCAAATTACAGTGTACTGTTATATCCCTTAAGGAGAACGTAAAGGTCCTGTAGGCAGTTACTGGTTTGCTGTTTGGTTTTTTTCCCAGAAATACCTAGTACATAGCAAGCACTTAGTGTTAATTGAATTAAATTCACCTGTTTCTATTTTATTTATATGAAATTGTATGACTGGGTAGAAATACTGATTCTATGACTTTGTCAGGTCATTAATTGCATTCAATAAACATTTATTAAGTGCCTACTGTATACCAGACACAGTACTAAGTGCTGGGGACACAAAAAGAAGCAAAAGAGAGTCCCTGCCCTCAAGGAGCTTCCAGTCAAATGGGGTAAACAACATGCAAAAATATATACAAAGCAAGTCTTACACAAGATAAATAGGAAATAATTTATAAAGGGAAAGCACTGAAATTAAGAGGGGTTAAGGAAGGCTTCCCATAGAAGGTGGGATTTTAACTGGAAGTTAAAAGAAGCCTTTAAGTATAAACATCATGATCATCCTTCTCTGAAATGTGTGCTTGTGAATCAGCTACTAAATGTCCTTTCTGCAGAAAGAGCTTTTTCATTTTCTTGGCCCTATTACATTCTTAGACAAGAAGAATAAAATTATACTTCAGCTCTGTGAACATTCAAAATTTGTCCCAAGGTTGATGTCTTTTCCAAACTGGATAATTAAAGAATGTTATTGATAAGGGGGGGGGGGGAGAAGAGAACTATCTGTAAGGTATTCCTAGCAAAATTATTTGTAACAAAAAAAAACTGGAAACAACCCACATGTGCAGCAAAATGGGAAATAGCTGTGCAAAATTATAGTATATGAGTATAATGGAACATTATTACACCATAAGAAGTAACAGCTATGAAGGATATAAGAACGGAGGGGAGATGTATATGAAGTGATACATAATCAAGAAAGCAGAACAAAAATAACATGTCCTTGTGTATGTAATATGGAAGAGGAAACAAGGCATAGTGGAGACTCATAGTCAAAATCTGGGTTCAAGCCCTACTTCCAAGATATCTAGCTTCTAGGCAACTAGGTGGTACAGTGGATAGAGTGCTGAGCCTGGAGTCAGAAAGTCCTGAGTTCACATCCAGTCTCAGACTTATACTAGCTGTGTGACCCTGGGCAAATTATTTAACCTGTTTGCCTCAGTTTCCTCATCTGTAAAATGGGGATAATAATAGCACCTACCTCCCAGAGTTGTTGTTAGGATCAAAGGAGATAATAATTATAAAGCTCTTAACACAATGCCTGGCACATAGTAAGTACTATATAAATATTAGGTATCACTATTATTCATCCATCCAGTCATTCATTCATTTATTATAAAGTGCTAAACCTGGAATCAAGAAGATCTGAATTTAAATATGGCCTTAGACACTAGCTGTGTGACCCTAGGCAAAGTCACTTATCCTCTCCTTGATCTGTCTCAATTTCTTCATCTATAAAATGAGGATAATTATAGCACCTATTTCCCAGGGTTGTTGTGAGAATAAAATGAGATATTTATTAACATTTTGCAAATCTTAAAGCATTATATAAATGCTAGCTAATTATGCTTATTATTATGCTGTCTGTTTAACCCTGAGCAAGACATATAACTGGTGTTCCAGACAACTAAGACTAGAAGTTGCAGAACAGTTATCCATCTGCCTTGAGGCCCCACTCTCCAGATTAATGACTGCTTCTCCAGGAAGTCCCCACTATGCTTGTTTCACTCCCTCCTTCTTTGCATATCTCTCTTCCTTCCACTCCCCTCTTCACCAACTACCTAACCCCACCTAATCAATAAATATGCCTTTCAACACTCCCATCCCCTCCAGTTCTAGAACAATGAATCATGCATGATAATATCAACTTTGCTAGCCTTGTTCCTGTTATTCCTAAATAAGGTATCTCAATCCACTCTCACTCTGGCCCCAGTCCTTATCCCTGTAATTTCTGGGTCAATGTGTCTCTGCCTGGCTACCACTCCCCTATGAATATTGTTCACCCCTTTAAAATATAAGCACCTTGAGGTCAGGGACTCTTTGTTTTTATATTTGTATCCCCTGTGCTTAGCAAATAGTAAGAGCTTAATACATTCATTTATTGACCAAAGGAGTTTTCAAAATTAGGAAGTTCTTTATACCTCAGGAGTTCCCTATACCAAAGAAATTATAGACCTTATAGATCTTGACAATAACAACCACCACCACCTTAATACTTCAACAGATCAGTAATCAACATAGATAGCTCTAGCAATCAATCAGTTAAGCACCTATTGGTGCCAGGCACAATGCTAGGCATTGGGCAATACAACAACAAAAACAACAAAACAGTCCTAGCCCTCTAAGAGCCTAACATTCTATCAGGGGAAACATCATTTACACATATAAATAAATTCAAAATATATACAAGTAAATAATTTTGTGGTGAGGAAGAAGAAGCATTGGTAGCTGGGGGAATTAGGAAGGGCCTCTTGTGGGAGCTGGTATTTGTGTTGAGCTTTGAAGGAAGCTAGGAATTTAAGTTAAGCTTAAGTTTCTGTGTACTATCATTTTATTGTTGTTTGAGCATTTTAATATTTTTGCTTCTTGATAGTTTAATTTGCTTAAAAAAATAATAACACAAGGCCATATTGACCTAGAATTGAAGTAAACTCAACCCAATTTGGATAGTTAAGTCATATACTTAAGGCTTAAGGCCACTGAACTTTTGGTTATATTTAGGTTGGAAAGTACCTGAATGCAAAAAAAAAAAAAAAAAAAGGAAGAAAGAAAGAAGGGGGACACTTTGTATTTAACACAAGATGATGAGAAGTTATAAAGTAAATAGATTTCACCTCAAAAAATATAAAAAGATTAATTTAAATTAAACATGATATGATTTACCTTTTTAAAGATTCTAATTTCAAAGGTCTTACATTTAATAAGACTCAGATATTTCATCATTTGTGTATAGAAGCTAGGAATTTACTAACTTATTTTGTCCTTATCTAAATCCATGTGTAAGATATAGCATATTTACAAATGTATGAGGCATACAAGTACTAACAAGGAGTTATATTTAATTATATGCTTAAGACAATGTAAATATTTGAGACATTTCCATCAGTTTACCTACTATTCATCCTGGTATGTAGTTGACAGGTAGACAATTAGGTGGCATAATGGTAATGTCAGATTCAAATAGAACTGGATCCCTGTAGTTGCATATTGACTTAGGATATCACAAATTAACATTATCTGTGTCATGTTATATGTTTATTTATTTTGTTAAGCATTTTCCAATTATATATTTATCTAGTTTGGGCACACTCATTTTTCCTGCCAGGAGTCTGACATCTGTTGATGTTGGATAGAGCTTTGGATATGGAATTAGAAAGATCTGAGTTCAATCTTGCCCTAGACATTTAACTATCTATGGGACTCTGGGCAATTCACTTAAACCCCTCTCGGATTCAGCTTTAAAATAGGAATAAAAATAGTATCTACTTCCCAGAGCTGTTGTAAGGATTAAATGAGATGACATATAAGGTATCTTGCAAATTTCAAAGTGCTGTATAAATGCTAGTTACAATTGCTTTTGTTATTATTATCATAGATCTGTTCAGCATACCTAATATATGTAAGTATAGTGTATGTTTGATTCTAAATTACTTTGATTCTAAATCAAATTCACTGGAATTCATTTATATTTCATTAGGCAGAACAACAACTAGTGGACTGTGCTCAGGATTTTAACAATCATGGATGCAATGGGTAAGTCGCCCCTGAATAGATAAACAAGACTTCATAAATTACTTTCAATATAGTGTAGCCCAAGCTTATGAACTTGCTCAGTTTTTCTAACTTGGAGCCTGTGGCAGGTGAAAGATAAAATGACAGAGAAAACAAAGGTTCAAGCTTCTGCACATATAGATTTATTAAGCAATGCATGACAACTGCCCAACAAATCAGGACCAGACCTCCTCAGCTTAGGCCTGGACCCCAAACACAGGGGTAGACAGACTTTTATACATTTTTTAAAATTCATCAAATAAGACCAATTAATTAAAAGGAAACAATACAACATTGGATAATCTGATTTCTAATTAGAGGAAAGATTAGGGACTTTTCAAGTTGGGAGTGGCAGAGCAAACAGGTACAATTCCCTGAATTTAGAAAAGGAGCTGTGCCACTCCCCCCAAGTGTCTATAAACAATCAAAGGAACATGGAAACAACAACTGATTGATCAGTACTGGGCCAGTTTTTCAGGTAAGACATATGGGTTGCTTGAGATGTATAATTGTGAGAAAATTCCTTGCATCAATCTTGGGATCTGACCAGGTTTCTGATCACCATAACCTAGGTTCTTAGTTAAGGGTCTCTAAACAGCAGGTAGAGGTGGTCCAGCTTCCCAGCCACACAGGGCTAGGTTCAAACAATACAATAAGATTTTCTCCCAATTACCACAATTGAATAAATTTTTCTCACAAGACAGAAATTGTACTAGACCCATAAATGAATAGAAAGGAAACTGGGCCAGCTCCAGAATCAATTCACAAGATGGAAACAGTGTGGTTCACTCAATTCCCACAATTAAGCACGTACTGTCCTAATTCTCTCAAGTCTTCTGCTACCCCCACCTATGTGGTAGGGAATGCAGCAGGTCCCATCTTAGACAAACTGAGCATGCTCAGAAGCCTGGGCTACACATTAATCTCAACTACTTTTGAATTCAGCATTTTTCATTTTGGATTTCATTGCTCTTATCCTCCATAACCCTGAATTATGGGTGTTTTGCTGAAGAACAATCTGTAGCAGCAGCTGGAGCATCACCCAGCCCAAGAAATCCACAATAAATTATCTTCCAAGTATATGTTAATTTCCTTTTTCTGTTAAAAGGGTAAATACTATCATTAATTCTATCAGCACCAAGTTAAAGTCTTGTAATATATTTTTTTATAAACCTAAAAGTATTCATCCAAACTAGTATTAAATTACAAAAGGGAGCCTTCCTTTATATGTTACTCCCAGAAGCAGATTAGAAGGAATAGAAAATATATTTTTTGCATGGCCTATATGGGGATTCGTTTTGCTTGATGATGTACGTTTGTTACAAGAGTCTTGTTTTTTTTCTTTTTTTTCTAAGTTGGGAAGGAAGGAAGGAAAGAAAATAAACTCTTATTAATTGAAAAAAAGTAAAATCACTGTACTGAAAACTAAGAAAGCCTTGTTTCTAGTCTCACCTCTGTCAAGGTCATGTGCATGACTTGGGCAAAACACCTAACATTGTACAATATTAGTTGCCTCCTCAGTAAAATGACAATAACACTCATATGTAACCAACCTCCCAGGGTTGTTATTACTATTTGATAAGATTAAGTTATGTGAAATCATTTTACAGAGCATACAAAGATAAGAGGTTTGTGTTTCTGTTTCTTTGTTGTTTATGGTACTGACTTGTAATTTCATTGATCAGTCAGTCAGCTAGAATTTTTTAAGTGCTTGCTGTGTGCCAAGTTCATTGGGGGAAAAAAAAACAAGACAAAACGTGATGTTGGGAAAAACTGAAGGCGAAAGAAAAAAGGGACAGCAGAGGATAAAGTTGATGGATAGTGTCATGGAAACAACAAACATGAAGTTGGACAGACTTCAAGAGATAATAGAAAATAAAAAGGCCATGGAGTCACAAAGAGCCGGACAAAACTGGACAACAACAACAAATGTGCTAAGCAATATCCTGAACTCTGAGAATACAACTTAAGTAGAAAGAAAGGCAGACTCTACCCTAGAGGATCTTTCATTTTAATAGGGTAAGATAAGGCCTAAAAGAAAGTTGAAGAAAGAGAGGGATGGTAGAGGAATTCTGTTGTACTGCAAAGGAATGAGACCCAGCTGACCTGGACACCCTTCTTAGAGTTTCTGGGAGGAGCCGTTCACTCAGAGGGAGGGGCCTAGGGGCAGAGGGTACTTCCAAAGTGTAAATTCTAGGACCTGAGCTCTTCAAGTAGTCCTACATACAGCCTGAGGAGGAAAGAGGTATAGGAACTCCTGGAATAGAAACTCCTCCCATGGGTTGCAGGTTGGCATCTCATCTGATATTTATAATCTTAATTGATACCTAGGAGGTTTAATGATTTGCCTATAAGCAATTAAGTATAAGAGGCAGGACCTGAACCTATGTCTTCTTGACTCTAAAGATTGTGCTCTATCCATTGTCCCCAGATTTTTTAAAATAAATATGCAAAAAAAATTTACAGAGGCTTCCACAATGTGTTCCTAGCCCTGATCAGAGCCCTAGCTCTCTTGAGTTCTGATCACCAGATTATTTATAGCTGCTCATAGGAAATTTCCACTTTGATTGTCCTACTGGTTTCTATAAATCTCAACCAACCCCCTAAAAAGCCATATACTTGTCTGTTCTCTGTAACATGCCTATTTTTGTCAATAGCAGCATCATTCTCTTAGTCACCAAAACTTGTAGTCATTTTTTTTTTTACTGATTCCTCTCTTCCTTTACTTCTTTACACATCCAATCAGTTACCAGGTCCTCACAATCCTTATTTAAAAATGTCTCTCCATATATTCCTACATGGCAAGATATTTGTAATTCTGAAGAACTTAATTACTATAAGGACAATTAGAAGAAATATACATAGGCAGAAGGTACAGGTGTGAGATGACTATGATGGGATGATATCCAAAAAAAAAAATTATGGAGTGTGAAAGAAGATTGCACTGGAAGAAGAGGGAATAAGGAGATAAAATGGCGTAAATTATCTCACATAAAAGAAGTATGAAAGAGCTATTACAGTTTAGGGAAAGATGGGGGGTGGCAGGCAACACTTGAACCTTACTCTCATCATAATTGGCTCAAAGAAATAATAATATACATACTCAGTTGAATATGGATATCTATTTTACCCTATAGGGAACTAAAAAGGGACACAGATTAAAAAAGGTGGGGGGAACTGACAAAAGGATGAGCAAATTGGGGGAGGTGGTGATCAGAAGTAAAACACTTGTGAGGAGGGACAGGGTGAAAGGTAAGACAGAGAAAAAGATAAACAAGGGGAAAATAAGATGGAGGGAAATACACAGTTAGTTATGATAACTGTAAATGTGAATGGAATGAACTCACCCATAAAATGGAAGTGGATAGCCCAGTAGATTAAAAACCAGAATCCTACAATATACTGTTTACAAGAAATACATTTAAAGCACAGAGACACTGACCGAGTAAAAGTAAGGAGCTGGAGCAGAATCTATTATGCTTCAGCTGAAGTAAAAAAAAAAAAAAAAGTAGGTGTAGCAATCATGATCTCAGACAAAGTAAAAGTAAAAATGGATCTAATTAAAAGAGATAAGAAATGAAATTTTATCTTGCTAAAAGGGACCATAGACAGTGAAGTAGTATCAATAGTAAATGTATATGCACCAAATGGTATAGCATCTAAATTTTTAAAGGAGAAGCTAAATTAATTACAGGAGGAAATAGACAACAAAACCATATTAGTGGGGGGCCTCAGATTTCCTCTCTCAGAACTAGATAAATCTAACCAAAAAATAAAGAAAGAAGTTAAGGAGGTGAATAGAATGCTAGAAAAGTTCGATATGATGGATCACTGGAGAAAATTGAATGGGAATAGAAAGGAATATCCCTTTTTCTCAGTAATATATGGCACCTACACAAAAATTGATGATGTTTTGGGGCATAAAAACCTCACAACCAAATGCAGAAAAACATAAATATTAAGTGCATCCTTTTCAGATCATAATACAATAAAAATTACATGAGAAGTTAATGAAAAATAGATTAAAATTAATTGGAAACTAAATAATCTAATCCTAAAGAATAAGTGGATCAAAGAGTAAATCATAGAACCAATAATTACATTAAAGAGAATGACAGCAATGAGACAACATACCGAAAGTTATAGGCTACAGCCAAGGTAGTACTTAAGCGAAAATTTATATATCTCTAAACACTTACATCAATAAAAAAGAGAAAAAGCAGATCAATGAATCAGGCATGTGACTAAAAAACTAGAAAAAGAACAAATTCCAAACCCCCAATTAAACAGCATATTGGAAATCCTGAAAAGAAATGAGAAATTAATAAAATTGAAAGTAAGAAAACCATTGAATAAATAAAACTAGAAGCTGGTTTTGTGAAAAAACCAATAAAATAGATAAGCCATTGGTTAATTTGATTTTAAAAAATGTAGAAAACCAAATTACCAGTATCAAAAATGAAAAGGGTACATTCATCACCAATGAAGAGGAACTTAAAATAATCGTTAAGAGTTATTTTGCACTTACTAGCTGTGTGACCCTGAGCAAGTCAGTTAACCCCCACTGCCTCACCAAAAAAAAAAGCTATTTTTCCCAATTATATACCAATAAATCTGACAACCTAAATGAAATACATAAATATTTACGCAAATATAAATTGCCCAGATCAACAGAAGATGAAATAGAATACTTAAATAACCCAATCTTAGAAAAAAAGAAATTGAACAAGCCATCAGTGAACTCCCTAAGAAAAAATCCCCAGGGCCAGATAATTTCACAATTGAATTCTACCAAACATGTAAATAACAATTAATCTCAATACTATGTAAACTACTGGGAAAAGCAAGTGAAGAAAGAGTCCTATCAAATTCCTTTTATGACACAAATATGATACTGATACCTAAACCAAGAAGAGCAAAAACAGAAAAAGAAAACTATAGACCAATTTCCTAATGAATATTTTTGCAAACATTTTAAATAA